ATTAACTGTGTGTTAACCATGCTTTATCGGCGACGCGTAAGTTCAAAAGTAACAAACCTCAGGGAGAGATGTCAATTGGAAATATACATGTAAAAGAAGATCTGACTCCGGTACAGGAGCTGCTTTGCTGTGGCACGTACTATGGTATTCCACCCTCATCGAACAAGAAAGAAATAGTCATATTTGGATTTTCTTTGTTTTATCGAAATACATGAGTTTGTGCCAAGGTCGATAGCACAGACATCAATCTGTGATATCCACCATCAGCGCAAATGGCGAAGAACATGCTAACAAGCCGTTTGATATTTCTGACTATCCAGGGAACATTTAAGCTCCCCGTGAGCTTATCAACCACCGTAAAAATCATTGTATCGCGTCCAGATAAGAGTCCACCAACATACCCTCGATACCCACCACCCGTTCAGGGGTCCACAATGAATGTCGAGGTATACTCCCGATCGGTATGAATGGATGGATTTAGATATTGTCGTGTTTATTTTACACCATGATCTCACCAGGGTTTAGGGACTATTTTCTAGCATAATCCCTACCCCAGAGCCAATGTCCTACTTGTAAAATTCATCTATGCCATTGGAATGTCTCACAAATGATCCCTAACGTCTTTTCTCCTGTGCTTATCACTGTTGAAGTTTCAAATTCAGAACCTACCCCCCCCCCCCCCACCGCTCCGACATTTCTTATCTCAGACACCACTACCACTGTTGTCCGATGATTGGCTCTGCAGCCATGAAGATCACTGTTGCAACATATTGTAAGTAGTGTTCCGTCAGTGTGAACTTGTGAGAATCGATCCCTAGACATTTTTCAGTGACCTACTGGTCCCATCATGTAAATGTACCTGTACGTGATTTTGTGTGATGATTGTAAGACCTACACTAAAATTAGTTATCATTGTCTTTATGATTCTGGCACGTCACGGTGGGTGCGATATACATGTAGCACATCATAGCATCACATATTGCTTGTATATAACTGCTCCTTTGCAAACTTGCACACCATTGCATACCTGATGAGGGCAATTTTTGCCGAAACGTAAAAACACTTCTGAAAGGAATTTATGTGGACACACCCATTCCTATAGCGCTGCACATTCGAACCAGTTCCGTTATTTTACAACAATTCTGCACTTGGCCATCGTCAGCTAATAACCAATAACCATGAATACTGTGGAAGCCGTACAAGTCAGATAAACATGTATATACGCAGAGTGTAGCGCCAAAAATAGGTGCTAATTATGTCACCTAGTATGCAGAAGGGGGGGGGGGACAGAGAGAGAGAGAAGGTGCAACTAGCACATCACGGAGCAGAGACAGCAGAAGTAAGCGCACCATTGCATTGTACTCCGTGAAGTGAGGGCACGTGCCATGGCGTTACGCAGAGTGTAGCGCCAAAAAAAATGAATACGAGTTATGTCACCTCTATGCAGAGGGGGGGAGAAGGTGTAACTGTTCACATCACGGAGAAGAAGTAGCAGAACTGAAGACACCGCGCCGTAGTGCTCTGCGAAGTGAGGGTACTTGCCAAATAATTATGGTGTTAATTCTAGCATGGGCCTCGGTGCTCCCGTCCTGTAATGTGCTAGAATTAACACCATACTTATTTGGCATGTACCCGCACTTCGCAGAGCACAATGGCGCGCTGTCTTCATTTCTGCTCCTTCTTCTCCGTGAGGGGAACAGCTACACCTTCTCTCCCCGCTCTGCATAGAGGTGACATAACTCGCATCCTTTTTTTGGCGCTACACTTTGCGTAACGCCATGGCACGCACCCTCACTTCACAGAGCACAATGCAATGACGCGCTACCTTCTGATGCTTCTTCACCGTGATGTGCTAGTTGCACCTTCTCTCTCTGCCCCCCCCCCTCTTCTGCATACTAGGTTACATAATTCGCATCTTTTCTTGGCGCTACACTCTGCGTATATACTGCTCTTGTGTGGCTTCCACGGTATTCACTGTTATTACCTCACGATGGCCAAGTGCCGAAATGTTGAAAAAATAACGGAACTGGTTCGGATGTGCAGCGCTGGGGGGAATGGGTGTGTCCACCCAAATTCCTTTCAGAGATGAAGCTGTAGGAAGCCTCAGGCCTTCGTAAAAACACATTAATTTTGATTGAAAAATGAGTGCCAGTTTTACAGAAAGAGAATGGGAAGAGAGCGAGTCTGCCCTGAAACCTTTTTTCCTACACTAAAAGTAATTAGGATAATGTTTTCGGTGAAAGTGTACTCACCTTATTGAGTTCCTTGAGTAGGTTGTACCCGCCTTCCAAGCAGACATACGAAACAGTACTTCAAGTTTCTTTTTCCAGAAATCCCAGACTCTGTACGACTTGTCAGCGGGATATAATTATTGTAGCTGAGCTTGAGGACTAAAGGAAAGCACGATCTCGAGGCTTCATAACACGACCAATGCCGATCATCAATGTTCATCGGACCATCCGTGGATAAATGAAGTCGTCGACTGAATAACATTCATGGTCATGGCGTTCATAAACACCTGATCGCTTTGTGGAACACTGCCCATTCATTCAGCGCACACTCGGCGAGTCGCCAAACCTCCAGGCTCCGGGCACATGTACATGACTGCACTTCACGTAGCGGGAACTGCTGCAGCTTATTTACACCTGTGTGTATGCAAGCAGGATGCGACATGCGAGCGAGGAGCTGCTGACACTCACAGTCCTGTCACTTCACCTGGGGAGATCCAGCACTGAACAGTCATAAGGAAACATTATCAGTTCTTATGCCTGGCTCGCACTACTTGAAGGCCGACTTTTCGGCCCATGCTCCAACACGCAGTGAAATCGACGAAATGTGTCGGAGGGTCCGTCGGACACACGCAGCTGTTCCCACACTGGAGCTCGCGCTATTCCGCCGGCTTGACTTGACACTTGACTGACTCACGACTGCCATCCAGAGCGCACCAGAAATCCATCGAACCTTCGACTCGGCAACCCTGCAAGAAAGCACCACTCCCTGCTCAATACACAGTATCTCGGGGAATTAACCCCTCATCAGTTGAGCTTGAGTAGGCTGAGGAAGATTGTGCCTGAAAAGCACCACGTGACGGGAATGGGCTAAGAGACTGCTTTTCCCATTCCCGTTGGCCTTCCAATCACATACATGTACAGTCAACTTCGCTAATAACGACTGCGGATATACATTGTACATGTAACGACAATTCGCGAATAACGACAGAATTTCCATGCTCAGAGCAAAGTCCCATCCAACTGTAATACATAATTATAATGAGACTTCGGGTATAACGACACTTTGTGAATAACCACACTTTTCTGATGCCCCGCCGAGTGTCGGTATAAGCGAAGTTGACTGTATTTACTTACACTAGAGACCTTTCGCTAACGATTTTCGTTAATTTTCCTTAGGTCTAGATTACGTACCGAAGTTTCGTAAATTTTCGTTTCGCTCGGCATGTCCACGTTTCGTTGCGTTGTTGTCGTAGCAACAGATTTCTCACAGGCGGGAGATTGAAAAACAAATTTACGGCGTACATGTTGTCATGACCGCGCAGTCATGAACTTACTATTTTCCACTTTTCCACGTCGTGCATTATTGTACACATTTTCGCGTATGCATGCTTTGACCCCTACTATCTCTTACTGCCATATCTGTTGTATGTTCAAACGGGAGTTCAAACTCTCGCTCCTTTTGGACGCCTTACGTCATATTCGTTTACCGTGTTTTTAGAGCGGAGAAAAGTTTTTCTTCTTAATTCTTGGTCTGGTTTTCTGGATTTTGGTATGGAAGTTGTGTCTGGTTAGACCTTCTTCTCGTTACAGTGTTTCGATAATAGCACTTGATATGATGAGTTTTTGATGTTCTCACGACGGAGACGAGGGACTGTGATCACAGCCACCGTTGAACTGCCCTGGAGTGCAGTAGTAATAGTATTTTAGACCCCCTTATTTTCCCTCGTTCATGTCCGTTCGTGACATGGTGCTGTGACCAGGATAGGATATGATGTCAAGTGAAGACTCTAATCGTACTAGTGAAGCCACTGAAGGTTGTGCTACAGCCACAACATGTCAGGAAGATGACTCCCAGAAGAAAGGCCTGCAGGCCATCAAGGACGCGCAGAAGCGTCGACGCCGGTGCATGCGAAGATACGAGCGCATCAGGGCATGTACTGGGTACATTTTGGAAAAAACAACAGAAAGCTATGTGGAAGTATCGATCGATCCAAAGAGGCTTCAGCCCCAGATTGACGATGCTGTACAGTTGAAACGAGAAATACTACTCACCCAGGATGAGATTTTCAATGTTCTGGACGACTTAGAAAGATGTAGTGTACACGACGAAGAAGAGGAGTGGGAGCGTGAATTTAATGTGTCTTGGCGCATTTTTGAAGATGCCCAGATAGCTGTCGACCAAGTCGTATTTGAAGAGGAGAAAGTGAAGCGTCAGTCCCAACCCGCCATTCTGGCTGCTCAGCAACAACACCAGAAAGCCTCAGTGACTTCAGTGGATGCCACCACCAATAGTGCCAGTGCCACTGAGGACATACCAGGAGACGAGGAGGCGCATCAACAAACAGCAGTGCAGCGGGAAGAAGATTCTAGAGACCAGAACGAGTCTCCAGCTATGATCAGTGTAGATGGTATCCGACGAGCATCTCTCAAGTGTCAATATACACAGTACACCAACAACGCTGTCCACTATTGACCATGGCTATGGGCCTGTCCACTATTGAGGTGGCGGCACAGGCAGCAGTAGCAGCCATGCAAGCCGCACGCTCCAGTCCAGTGGTGAAACTTCCTCAGCTGAAACTGTCTAAGTTCAATGGAGACATCATGGACTGGCCAGAATTCTGGCAGACATTTTAGTCCTCTGTTGGTCTTCGTCAATCGTTGCTGGACGTATCAAAATTCACGTACCTCAAAAGCGTCCTGACGGGTGTCTCCGCAGCAGCCATCGAAGGCATTCCAATAACAGCAGCTAACTATCCTATCACAGTTACGATGCTGAAGGACAAATTTGGACAGCCTGAGCTGATAGTGGCAACACTGTATCGTAAACTGGCACAGCTGCCACAATGTAACAACAGGTTTACTGAAGTGAAGGCTACCATTGACCAAATGGAGAAACTCCTTCGTCAATTGGAAGCGCAGGGAGAGAACCTGGATAATCAGCGCGATCTCATTCAGCAACTCTTCTCGAAGTTCCCGTTTCAGCTCGTCAGCAAACTGGAGGAGCAGAGATCCGATCATACTGTGCCATGGACGGTCAAAACAGTACGGGAGATGCTAGCGAAGTATGTAGCAATGCTGAACACAGTTCGTCAGTTCACCCACAACATCAGCCAGACATCTCAGCCTAAGATACATGGACACCAGCAACAACACCATCGTCCACCAACAATGGGATTTGTATCCAGCCAAGCAAGCCCCAGAAGAGAACCGTCCTGCATCTTCTGTCGGTCAAGCCATTTCAGTGATGAGTGTACCAACTACTCAACACTGGATTCCAGGAAGGATCAACTGTTGTCCCTACGTAGGTGATTTGTGTGCCTCAAAGAAGGCCATATCGCAAGGAATTGTGCACACCGTACTAGAAATTGCTACCACTGTAGCGGAACAGGCCACAGTCGTGCAATTTGTCCCAAGAAGGGTCAACAATATAATCCAGCAGTCGAAGTTCCGAAACACCAGCAACCGAATTCACTGGCCAATGGCAGTCCACAGACAGCAGCAATCCCAGCTTTGTCACCGGCAGAGATGCCAAGCCAAGAGCCGACGGCAATTCCAGATGAAACCACGGAACTAGCCACCACGAGCGTCTCAGCACTGAAAGCAGTTATTCAGTCAGCCATGCTGCAAACCGCTAAGTGTGACGTGACTGACCATTGTGGGAAGAAGGTCACGGTCAACGCACTACTGGACAGTGGCAGCCAACGATCGTTCATCACTGCAGCTCTAGCTAAACGACTCCAGCTACCAGTCGAGAATGAAGAGAGGCTCTACCTGAACACCATGGCAGCAACTAAGTCCAAGAGCTTCAATTCGCAATCGTTCCAACTCGTTGTCAACCTCCGAGACGGTAACATGGCACAGATAATGGTGAATACTCTGCCTACCATAACCAACCCAATTGTGAAACAAGCCGTGCAACAGACCGACTTAGCGTTTCTTGAGCAGCTGTCTCCAACAGCGCTAGCAGATTCTGTTCCTCACGCAATGGAAACTGTCAACATTGACTTTCTAATTTGTGCTGACTACTTTTGGCAACTGGTGGGCAATAATGTTATCACACTGCCATCAGGACTCAAGCTAGTCTCCTCCGAATTTGGATACCTGCTCACCGGCTGCAGTTCAGTACGGGATGAATGCAGCAATGATGACACGACCTCCCTTGTGGTTTCCAGCAGCGGTTCGATTTTCTCAGGAGCTGCAAGGGTCTCCAACCGTAACACAGAGGACAGTGTACTGTCTCAATTCTGGCAACTGGAGAATATTGGAATCAAGGATTCACCCTACGCGAATGATGACGAAATCGCACTGGCGCAATTTCGCAAGACAACGGAATATTCCGAGGGCAGGTATTCCATCCAATGGCCATGGAAGCCTGATGACACCGAAGATCAACTTCCTAGCAACTACGGCTTAGCCCTTGGCCGAATAAAATCACTGGCCAAACGACTCGCTTCAGACGGACAACTGCTCGAGAGTTATGACAAGGTGATCCGACAGCAGCTAGCTAAGGGAATCATTGAAGAAGTTCAACTTTCCGGAATCAGTGGTAAACAACACCATTTCCCACACCACCCAGTTGTGACACCAGCGAAGTCGACAAAGGTCAGGACAGTGTATGATGCATCAGCCAAAGCGAGTGCAACATCTCCAAGCCTGAACGACTGCCTCTACCGTGGCCCAGTGCTACTCCCTGACCTCTGCGGCCTGCTAATGCGTTTCCGTCTCAAGCCAATTGTGATTAGCGCTGACGTAGAGAAAGCATTTCTTCAAATTTCTATTCAGCCAAGTGACAGGGACGTCACCCGATTCATCTGGTACAAGGACTGTGCCACACCTGAGAAGGTTAACGGCAATGTCACAGCGTACCGTTTCTGTCGAGTGCCGTTCCGTGTAGTCTCGAGCCCATTTCTGCTCGTTCCTACCATTCAGCTGCACCTCACACAGGCCCAGACCGATGTGTCTGGTGCTATTGCACGTGATCTGTATGTGGACAACCTAATAACCACGGTCTACTCCCCAGAAGAAGGTATTCATCTCTACAAGGAAGCCAAGCAGCTGTTCTCAGATGCATCCATGAACCTACGAGACTGGATCACCAACTCCGACAAAGTGTTGGACAAGGTTCAGGAAATCGACCGATTGCCATCAGCATCTACCAAAGTCCTTGGGCTCAAGTGGGATAGCAAAGCAGATAACATCGCCGTGTCCAACAGCATCAATGAGAAATCAGTCGGTCCAGTCACAAAGCGCAGCGTGCTGAACAAAGTGGCAAGCGTGTTTGACCCACTCGGATTGATGACACCATTTACACTGCAAGTGAAGCGGTACCTTCGTCGGCTATGGGAGGAAGGTCTGGAGTGGGATGCCCCATTGTCCGCACCAATGCTCCTGGAGTGGGACAACATCCAATCAGCACTCCGGCAGACGACGACCGGCACCATTCCAAGGTTCATTGGTCCTGCGAGTGCAAGTCAACCGATGAGTCTACATATCTTCACAGATGCATCCAAGGATGCATATGCAGCAGCAGCAGCTTACCTCCAAGTGCAGATTCCGGATTCCAACAAGTACACGGTGAATCTCATCTTCTCCAGATCCCGACTGACCCCGTCACTCAACAAACCATCCAAGAAGCAATCAGTCACCATTCCTCGTATGGAACTGCTCGGCGTGGTCATCGGATTCAGGATGGTCAAGTTCATCCAATCCCAGCTTCAACTTCAGAACAACATCCCGACATACCTCTGGACTTATGCCAAGTGTGTTCTCCACTGGCTCACAACGCCCGATTATCTCTCAACATTTGTTGCCAATCGTGTGAAGGAAGTGAAATCCAATCAGCAGCTACAGTTTCGTCACGCTCAGTCCCAGGCAACCCTGCAGACATTGCAATACGCGGTTTTCAGCCAGAGGAGTTGAAGGAGTCTTCTCTCTGGTGGCAGGGTCCTGCATGGCTAGCAGGAGACAAAGAGGACTGGCCAACAGGAAAACTGATCGTCACGCAAGAAGACATTGCAGAAGCAGACAAAGAGAGACGCTCCCCTCTCATTACAATTGGGAACACAGCTGCCGTCATCAACGACAGCACAGAAACGTATTCGCTTCAGGCAGCAGAACAACGTGTTTCATACCTCAGATCGCTCTTGAGGACTACAGCAATCTGCCTCCGTTTCATTGGCAAGAAGATCTGGAGCAAGGTCAGTAGCAGCACACGAGAGAAGCTACGCCCAAAGATTCCCCTCGCAGCAATGGTCTTTGATGATGCTTCGCGCACCAAGTACGTAGCAGCCAGTGATCTCAGCATCGCAGAGAAGATCATCATCAGACAACACCAACGACAGAACTTCACGGATGCGTTCAAAGCTATAGACAGCGGTACTCGTCACCCCCTTCAAGACCAGCTCGGACTTCGCCTGGATGCTGAAGGACTGCTAAGATGCCATGGAAGGCTAGACAACGCTTAGCTACCTGAAGATGCGACTCGCCCTATGCTGATATCCCGACACAGTAAGCTAAGTACTCTGATCATCCGGGAAGTTCATGCGCGTCTCATTCATGCCGGAGTGTCTCACACACTTGCCCAGATTCGACAGAAGTACTGGCTTCCACAAGGGCGAGCAGCTGTGAAAGCCGTTCTGAGTAAATGTGTCATTTGTCAGAAACACGAAGGGCAACCGTTCCGTCTACCCCAGATGCCACAGTTACCATCAAAACGAGTACAGCAGTCTCATCCATTTCAGTACATCGGCCTCGACTATCTCGGCCCATTCAGCGTCAACATCGGCAGTACAACACAAAAGGTATGGGTGTGCCTCTTCACCTGTAAGGCAACCCGTGCGGTTCATTGGAAGTAGTGATGGGATTAACAACGGCTCAGTTCGTCAACTGTTTGAAACGATTCATTGCCAGGCGAGGACGACCTGACAAGATCATCTCAGACAATGCGCCACAGACGTACCTCGATCAGAAGTGGAAAAAGATCCTAACCTGCCCTGAGCTGGCCTGCTACCTTGCAGAACACAAGGTAACCTGGGTTTTCACCACTGAGTTTGCACCGTGGCAAGGCGGTTTCTATTAGTGGTCAAACGAATGTGCTAAACAGCGAATCGAACCTTCTCTGAATGTTCCTAACGAATACCGAACGAATGTCGCCCGTTCCATGATTAAGAAATCAGTAAGAAATTATAGCTACCAACCAGTATGTAACACTAAAACTTTTGTAAAAGGCACCCAAATCATAAGTGAAGTTGCACACTGCAAGTCTGCAACAGAGACTGTAGATGTCATGACTCATTTATGAAGTGGACAGTGATGGTAATGTACCCCTCCGTTCGTCTGCTTGTCCACAGGTCTGTAGTCAGCGTCATGGAGCTGGCCTTTTCAAGGTTCTCCACCTAACTACTGCACCAGCAACTTCAGGCCCGCGACGTGCTTCCGCTGAATTAGCTTTGTCACTTGAGTCGCAGGTAGCCAGGCTCGGGGTAGTTCATGAGCGAAAGGAACCCCCGCACCAGTGACTACGCTCACAGGCCGAAGATCTCTGCACACAAATTCCACCTATCGGTCGTCGCATCCAGAGCCTCAGAGGATCTAGCCGCTGGCACTTTCTTTGCCTTGAAGAAGGCAGTTATCCCTCCGTCCTTTTTCGGTATCGCCCCTGCGCCATCCAAGTCGACATGGTGAACGTCCTTCAGATGGTTACGTAAATTCGTTGTTCCGCCATGATCTGCCAAGTCTTTCGGCGGCTTGCACCGAGTACACGTAGCAATATTGTCGTGAGAATATAGATAATATTGTCAGCCGTTATCTCTATTCCAAAATCCCATACGGCAGAGCGCCTACTCTTCTCGGCCATGACGAACGTTGGGTGGATTTGATGAAGAAAGACTCAACGACGGCTCTCAGCAATAGTTATTATTTCAGACAGACCGTCGAGTGTTGTCACGACTAAAATCGCCTGTGGCACTGCACTTCCAGTTTCACAGCCGGGCGCGGTGCACGCATGCATGCAACGACGTTCAACCCAGATAAGACTAGAGTTCACTGCGCAGACTAGACCTACCATAGTCTCTGGTCATGAAGACAGCGCGGCACGGCTTCAAAAGTAGACGTGTGTACGTGCTTGCATGCATGAAAATCGCTGCTACAAGTGCAGAGTTCACAGTTTTGTGAGTTACGATATTCGTTTGGGCGGTCAAGTTGACATTCGAATGTCGACTCGAGAACGAACGTTCGAAGCTTCTCAGCATTCGTTTGACCACTAGTTTCTATGAGCGACTAGTTGGTCTGGTGAAGCGAGCTTTCCACAAAGCCATTGGCCGCAGTCGATTCACCTACGAGCAGTTCAACACAATCACAACGGAAGTTGAGGCAATGCTCAACACACGCCCATTGACGTATGTACCGTCAGAGTCAACAGATGGAATCATCTCGCTCACTGGGACTTCCTGACGATATCCAGTCAGATGACTACATGCCCCAACTCGCTCACTAGGACTTCCTGACGATATCCAGTCAGATGACTACATGCCCCAACTCGCTCACTGGGACTTCCTGACGATATCCAGTCAGATGACTACCCAGTCGCTACTATTACGTCGCTTCAGAAGAAGCAGCAAGCTGCACTGGACACGTTCTGGAAGTTGTGGAGCGATGACTATATCCTTGCACTTCGCAGCCGACAGCCAATCAACCATCGTCTCGGGAGGAGCCGAACCACTGATCCCAAGATTGGCGACATGGTCATGATCAAGAACGACCAGCTACCACATGGAATGTGGAAGATGGGAAAAATCAGAGAACTGCATGACAGCGCGCAGGACGGCAAGACTCGTTCGGCGACAGTACAGACGACCAACTCCATCCTGAACCGACCGATCAACCACCTCTACCCGCTAGAAGTGACCGCAACGGAGGAGAAGGAGAACACTGACGCCAGCAACAGCACAGGCACTGATGTCATCGACAACGGCAGCACTGATGTTGCTAGCAGCAAGCCTCAGCGCATGGCCGCCAAGAAGGCAAAGGAAAGGCTCAGTGCTCAAATGCAGGCTGAGCTGGTGTCTGTAGCTTTCACCTTTGTTTCTACGTATGTATGTATGTATGTAGACAGTATCTATTCCATTGTCTTATTCAATGCCACAGTAAAATAGTTTGTTTCTTTTGGTCCCCGGGAGTGTCATGACTGCGCAGTCATGAACTTACTATTTCCCACTTTTCCCACGTCGTGCATTATTGTACACATTTTCGCGTATGCATGCTTTGACCCCTACTATCTCTTATAGCTTACTGCCATATCTGTTGTAAGTTCAAACGGGAGTTCAAACCCTCGCTCCTTTTGGACGCCTTGCGTCATAATCGTTTACCGTGTTTTTAGAGCGGAGAACAGTTTTTCTTCTTGGTCTAGTTTTCTGGTTTTTTGGTTTAGAAGTTGTGTCTGGTTAGACCTTCTTCTCGTTACAGTGTTTTCGATAATAGCACTTGATATGATGAGTTTTTGATGTTCTCACGACGGAGGCGAGGGACTGTGATCACAGCCACCGTTGAACTGCCCTGGAGTGCAATAGTAATAGTATTTTAGACCCCCTTATTTTCCCTGGTTTGTCCGTTCGTGACACATGTACCTTTTTGTGTTTTCTTCTTGTTTAAATTTCAAATTTCACCTTTGAGAACTCAATCATCAAAAACTTTAAATGCTTTATCTCTGTTCCTTCTCGAGGTACGTACCCTAAAGGGGCAGACTGGTCGTAAAATCCCTGAAAAATCGAATTTGTAAAATTCATATCGAGTGCTACATCAGTTGAAAGAGCATGAATAGCTGCAAAATCTCTGAAAATGTTGTCTCGATCTGAGCAGCCGTTCAAGAGCCGAGCGAAACGAAAAAATTACGAAACTTCGGTAGGAAAGTCTAAAAAATCACGTTTTTAGCCAGGTATTTGGCTGCACGGCGGCGGGACTTTTGCCAGCACCCTGGTGACATAGCAGATAGGTGGCTTGATTATTGTAGTTGACGTTGATTTAGTGACTTTGGCAAGTTGGAGTCGTGTGAAGAAATCAGGTAGGAGTCAGTACTAGGCAGTAGTGGAACGTGAGTGGTAGTCTTTGCCGATTTTTGAGGGTATCCTGGATTTGGTGTGCAGCGCTGTGGAAATGGCTTGCTGTGGAGGTCTCAGCACTGGATGTTGTATCAAAGGTACGACCTCGTAGCACACCCCAAACATAAAAAATCAAAAATTGAGCTATTTGCAGCGAAGAGATCCATTTTTTTTTAAATCCAAACAATACATGGCTGGGGTTGCCAATGACCGCTTTGCGTGGCGATGGCAGGTTTTTTATACCCTGCCACGGCTATTTTGTGCAGGCTTTTCGTGTAAGGTCAGTCTCTAAACGTACATACCTTTCTCCACGGACAGTGTTGAGTTGATCTCTCACCTGCTAGACATCCACCTAGTTCACTTTCGCTGTTCGAGCTGTAAGCGCATCGGACCAATTTGTCGCCCTTCGGGTACTAACTCGTTTCAGACCGGCCACAGCTGTATGCGCTACGTACGAAAGTTGGCCGATCACAAATGTCGCTTCAGTTCATCAATGTAGACCTTCCTGAAAACCGCTGGAAAATCGATAGAATACCAGTACAAATTTCACCAGCCACAAAGCAAGTACACTGGTGCTACTCGTAGTATAGGGAGGTACACCAAGCACTGCAGATGCAATTTGTTTGCAAACTATCTGGTGATCTACAACATGTGATTTACTCGGCGGAGATCTTTTTTGTAGCTGAGCTGGAGCGCTAAAGAAAAGCCTCCGCCCCGGGTAGTGTCATTCCATGGATTTGAGCGTCTGTTGCGAACAACATAGGCCCGGATGATAGGGGACAGGACCCATGCCAGACTTCACAGTGTGGCCGCATGCAAAATGAT